ATATTGGTCTTATTTACTAAAGGAGTTGATAGTCTTCACACTATAAATTTAGTGAATAGTCATTTTAATGATCTGCTCATGAGAAAAGTAAACATGGCATTTTCCATCAATTGTTTAGTAACACTCTAAATTTATATTAGTGTCATATTTATTATGTATTTATTACAGGTATTTACTGTATATAGTGCTGACAATTTATTTTGCCAACAATATGTATCAAATATTCTTGGAGCTTTAAATCCTCTCCTTTCTAGAGCCACCTGCATCACTTTTCCTTTAGTGGTGCTAGTGTGTATATATATATATAGATTATATGATATAAATCAGCCTTTCTCAACCAGGGTGCCTTCTGGCTTCCTCAGGGGTACCTCAAAATTTTGTGTTAGTCAGACTGTGATGTGAAAGGGGTAATGAAGACTGAGGTAAAGGGGCTACTGATGTAAAGGGAGGAAATCTTATGTAAAAGGGGGGACTCTGATATGAAACAGTGGCATCTGATGCAAAATATGGGCTCCTGATGTGAAGGGGGGGCTACTGATGCAAAGAGGGAACTCTGATGTGAAGAAGGGGGGGAATCTTGATTTTAAGGGGACACTTTGACGTGAAAGGTGAAACCCACTTTTGTGTGTTTTTGCATGTGGTCCCCCTTAAAATCTATGACATTCTAGATCGAGGTGCCTCAAAATTTTGCATTTAAAGTGTGCCATAATGGAAAAGAAGGTTGCTAAACAGTGATGTAACTTATTACTGTTTTTTATGAGGATTTAACACTAAGGTGTCTATTCACTAAGCTGCCGTAGGCAGCCAAGTGAACAACCGACCTGAAGCGAAGTGAGCCGAACGCTGTTCGGCTATTCACTTCAGGCTGGTACAAAATCAGCCATACATCGGGTGGCTTCACGTGGCATGTTCAGCCAACCCGAAGTGCAGAAGGAGTTCGACTCAGCCTATCCAACATCTGGATCGGCTAAGCCGAACCTCCGGCAGGCTACTCGCTGCTGTTCGGTCTATTCTTATTCTATTCTACTCTAATAGATGCAGCAGTGAGTAAATAGCTGTTCCCTCTGTGGGACCGAGCAGAACAGAAAAATAGTTAAAAAAGTACAGAAAAATAAATAGAAAACCGTTGTGCAGAGCTAGCAGTGACAGCTAGCTGCGTCCAACTGTTTTCTATTGGCCGGACGGTTCTGCTGCCTTCAAAAAACAAAAATAAAATGTTTGCCATAGGAATGCATTGCTAGATTCCTATTGGCTATTTCAATTTGCAATAGCCAATAGCAAACTAGCTATTGCACCCACCCTCTGCTGCTGTCAATCACTATGTCGGAATATAAAAAATAAGCAGGGAAAGTTTTACTCTGCTTGATAGAGCAGAGTAAACCTTTCTTGGAAAAAGTGTTTCTCCCCTGGGCGGCCAGCAGCGGGAGACTCCCGGAGCGCCTGGGAGAGTTTGCTGTCTGGAGATCAGTGTCCCTGGTTAGCTGGTAACCAGGGATGCTGATCTCTCTGCAAGTGGCCGGAGGCAGCCATGATATGATGGCTGGCTCCGCCCAGCTGTCAGAAGCAGGCTTTCGGCCAGCCAATGGCATATGCCTTCGGCTCGACTGAGCCGCTCGGCCAACTTCGGGAGCTGTACGGGCTATAGGGAATAGCCCGTACAGCAGCCCTTCGGTTCTACTAAAATGAAAGGGTCCTGGGGTCGAAGCTAGTCGAAGGATCAGCTGGAGCTACGGCTAGATGCTTCGGCTGCTTCGTGAATAGACCCCTAAAATTCCTGCCTTTTTCTTTTCTATTTGAGCGCCAATAATTTTTTTTCTTGCAAGAATTTCAGCAAAAACTGTTTGTTTGCTTTTTCTGCTGAGAACATTTTGTTATTTGGACTTTAATACTTTAAGAGACAACCACCAGATTAGAGGTATACAGCTTATCCAAAAGCACAATATACATAAAAATGACATGCATTTACTGTACAGTGTCTTTTTCTCATTGTAAGTAAATGAATGTTATCTATGTACTTTTGCATCTGATAAAGTGTTGCTACCTCAAAATCTACAGAATCCTACTACAACATATTTTGGGTTAAAACCAGAACATGCAAGCTCCATACAGATGGTGTCCCTTGTGAGATTAAGATTCAAAACCCAGAGATGTAAGGCAAGAATGCTATTCACTTATCCAAAATTGCATTTTTCTATAAGTCCCAGACCAGTAAAAAAAAAAAATAATCTTCAAAAAAAGGTTAAATCACTTAAAAATATAAATTATCTACTTTTGTTATAATTTTTAGTCACAATTTTTTGTATTACTTTTTTATGTTACTACATATATCATACTAATTCCCATAGTAGACTGCTAATGTAAAACAGTATACAAATAAACAGAAGAGAGAATAAAAAGTCTGGCAAGCAGAGCCAACCACACAAAGGCAAAATCGGAATTTACTTTTGCATTTTTCCAGGCATTGGGACTCAGGTGACCCTTTGCCCTTTATTTTATGCAAACTTATGCAAAATAGGAAAGCCACCCATGTGTTTCATTTTCTTGGCAGAAAGTCTGTCCAGTTTTAATGTAGATCTATAAAAAGTTAACTCTCCAAAATATGGGTGTATTTTGTTTTGTATTCATTAACAATGGAATAGGAGGTTAAACATGGTGCATCCCTTTTTAATTTTTGTTAAAATACTTACAGTCGAATAGTGGCCACAATCATCCTCTAAAATTCTGATTATCGGAAAGCGTACAACATTTTCTTATAATATTTAAAGATTATAATTTTTTTCCATAAATCTTTGATTTACCACAGTAGAATGTAAATACATCTGTATTGATACATAAGTCTTTTTATTTGAAAAAATCTAAATATATAATTTATGATTGTGCCATATTTGAATACAAAATTCAAAATAAATACATATTTTGTCTAAAGATCAATGATCACTTTTCACTTAAACAGCGACCCATCCTTTTACTGTAATACCTTATTGTAAAAAGTATAATAATGTACAGAACAACCACAAAAGGACACTGTGCTGGGATGTAAAAGCTACATAGTAACTGTTTACGGTTTAAAAAAACACATGATTTTTCTTTCTTTAAAAAAGTGATAGAAAAAGAGTAATTACATGCATTGAAGGCAGTGTGGCAAAGTAAAGTTCAGAATGAATAGGGCTGATTTACTAAAGGAATAAAGCAAGTTCACTCTGCAAAGTGAATTTTTACTAAGCTTAGTGAAGCTAAGTGAAAACTCGCTTCTCAAAAAATACCCCATCCCTTTCACGAAGAATTTTAAAAAAAACAGGATTTCTGCTTTCACAAGGTATATGTAATTCACTATATTCACGAGATACGTGGAAACCATGTTGCAAAGTGAACAGGCTTTACTCCTTTAGTAAATAAACTTGTTGCTTAAAGCTTCACTAGTTGGCTTGAAAAAAGTACTGTTTAAAATGTAAGCTTTTTATTTCTGACTGTGTTAACTAAAAAAAGAAATACATTAAAAACTATTATGTGTGTGTGTGTGTGTGTGTGTGTGTGTGTATGTGTATGCATATATGTATGTATGTATGTTGTGAGATTTAGCTGAAAATGGTAGCGCATTAAGGACTCTTCCACTATGTCTTCTTTTTAAGGGCTCCTGTTCCCACTTTTATTGAATCCAACTCAAAAGTCCACACAGGTTTTCCCTCGCAGGGGTTTTCAAACATAACATACGGCTTTTCTTCAGCAAAAATAACATTTTCAAAGTCTTACCGACTTTAGGTTGTCTGTTTACAATACAGGCTGTATCCAAACCACCAGAAAACTAGCTGGCTCATTTCATTTATCCTGGTCATTTTATTTATATTTTGTATTATTTTGTGAGATATGCAGTATATAATCACATTATGTTGTATTTATTTTGAGGAGCAAAAGCCTAGTCTATCACTTTGAGCTGCAGTGGTTCTTGTTTCTCTTACTGATGTCCAGTTTAGTATCTTAGGTTTACTGCTATGCAGAAACTATAAGAATGTTGTACTTTCTTCCAGTAGTCATCCTGCTTTTTACCTGGATTGCTCAAAATCCCTTCTTCAGTTACCAGAATTCACTTTATGTATGTGAAAGCAGGACAAGATGGATTCTGATGAATTGGTATTGCATGTGTACGCCTTGCACTTTTCATTAGGAAGAGCCCTATGATTTGTTTTTGTAAGATTTATTTAAAAATATTTTGGCATCAACTTAAAATTGTCAGCAAATCATAAAAAATGACCCATGGAATCTTTGCTTTTTTGTTACTTTGGTATAAATAAATAATAAGCAAAAGTTTACTGTTATCTGGCTTTTGTTAATAATTAGAATTTCTTCTTATATTGAGTAAAGATTAGTGAAAATGGATCTATTCATGCAGTATCTATATGTGTAAGACTGGATGAACTGTATAATAATCACAATCAGAGAAGAGAAACTGGGACAAAATGTATAAACATTTTTAAATATCTAAGGATAGGGGAAAATTTGTGTCTGGGTTCATATGATTAAGAAATGCTTCATGATCAGAAATCAATGCTTTAAAGAGACCTATCCAGTAAAAATGACACATGGGGCAAATGTCTGAAATATAGAACAGAAATTTTAGTAATACCAATGCAGTGTGTTGCAGAGCCCCTTCAGTTTTAAATTTAACAAATAATTGATCACAATCACAAATCATAAGACTTAAATGAGCCACTAAGGAGCCACTAATTTTTACTATTTGACATGTCTTGCCCAATAAACTGCAATCAGCAAACCTGCATCAATGTTGCTTTACTCTTTATGTTTGCTGTAAAAAAACATATTATTATTATTATTACTGTCATTATCGATAATGCAATCAATTATAGGCATTTATTTGCCTTTTTTTTTACAAACTGTCACTTTTTTTTACAATTTAAAAATCTTAATGATCATGAACTTGGAACATGATTTTTTTTCTCTTTTCTCTCCCTTTTCTTTCTCTGCTACTGGTTATTGCTCTTTAGTGGTTTTTGGCCAGTTTGTGTTTTTCCAGACGTCTCTCCAAGATGTTGTTGAGGTATATGATGGAGCAACCCAACAGTCGCCTCTCTTATCCTCTCTCTCAGGATCACATTCAGGTACCTTTTTATCAGAGATGCCAATGGGTCATTTAACACATGTTTTATATTTTTTTGCCTCTTTCAAGATGATTCATGATTAAAGGGACTGTCCAACAGAATAACTTTTTTTAAAGCTGTCCTCTCTTAGGCAAGCAGAATGGTGAAGGTGTCTATAATAAGTTCACCAATAAGTAATTTACATTTGAGGAGACTGAAGTTACAATTTGTAAGGCTGCAGCAGTTGTAGGCATCAAATAATAAGCAATATGCTAGTTGAATTAATATCAGTAGAAGTCAAGTTGATAACAGTGGTAGTAAAAGTAAAGGGGTCTATTCACTAAGCTGCCGAAGGATCTAGCCGTAGCTTCAGGTGATCCTTCGGCTAGTTTCGGCCCCAGGACCCCTTCGGTTCAGAAGAACCGAAGGGCTGTTGTACGGGCTATTCACTATAGCCCCTACAGTTCCCGAAGTCGGCTGAGCGGCTCAGTCGATCCGAAGGCATATGTTTCGGCTCGACTGAGCCAAGGTGAAAGCCGAAGCTGGCCAAGCGGCCGGCCATTGGCTGGCCAACAGCCTGCTACTGACTGCTGGGCAGAGCCAGCCGTCATCTCACGGCTGGCTCCAGCCACTTGCACAGACAGATCAGCGTCCCTGGTTACCACGTAACCAGGGATGCTAATCTCCAGATAGCCCAACTCTCCCGGACTCTCCGGGAGTCTCCCGCTATTAGATAGCGGCTCCCGGCTGCCCGAGGGAAGCACTTTCTCCGGGAAAGTTTTACTTGGCTCGATTGAGCAGAGTAAACATTTTCCTGCTCTGTTGTTTGTTTTTTTTATCTGACATCGGAGCCGTTGGCTGCCGTCAGAATAAAAAAAAAAAAAACACCATAGGAATGCATGGCTAGATTCCCATTGGCTATTGCAATTTGCAATAGCCAACAGCAAACTATCTATCGCACCCGCCCACTGCTGCTGTCAGAGGGCGGGTGCAATAGCTAGTATGCTATTGGCGATTGCAAAGTGAAATAGCCAATAGGAATCTAGCTATGCATTCCTATGGGTTTTTATTTTATTTTATTCTGATGGCAGCAGAACCGCCTGGCCAATATAAAACAGTTGCGTGGAGCTAGCTGTCACTGCTAGCTCTGCCCAAATGTTTTCTATTTAAATTTTTTCTACTTTTTTAACTGTTTTTCTTTTCTGCTAGGTACCACAGAGGTACCGAGCAAAATAGCCGAGCCGAATGCCGCTTCGGCTCACTTCACTTCGGGTCGGTTGTTCACTCGGCTGCCTACGGCAGCTTAGTGAATAGACCCCAAAGTCTTAGTGCCATTTTAATGAGGGACAACTGTTATGCTGACCATACACAACACATTATTTAAATATCTTTATTGATATTAGGCAACCACAGGGCTGAAATGTTCCCAGACATGGTTCCTCTTGCTGAAAGAACAACCACGCTGAAATCAAAATGCGATACGTGAACGGAGCCAAGGGAGGTGATTTACTAACCTAAACACACGCACGCACTAGGTGCGTGTGATTTTTACACAGCAAAACGTATTTATCAACCAAAAAGTCTCTAAAAGCATATTTCCACTAATACCATATATGGAAAAATCATGCACATGATGCATATATAATGCTGCTTCACAGTTTAGACAAAAATGGTTAGCTCATGCATTTACATTCCTGCATTCATCAACGCAAGCAACACAATGTAGAGCCAATTTACACAACATCACCTTGCAATTCATGCAGGGCTTTGCACAACACACCTGCTGGGTGTGTACACACTACAAAGGTGTCTAGATTCCACCAATAGATCATGCTGGGAGGGAACACACTACAGAGATGTATACTTGTTCGTGGTGTGTTTATAAGGTTAGTAAATCAACCCCAAGGTCTCCTACTAACAATTGGGAAGTAATCAGTGAGGTTCCTTATTTTGCCCCATGACAGCCACTGTGATGATCACATGCAGGCTGGATGTTTTTATTACAAACAGGCCTCTCTAGCCTGCAAATGGCACTATGCCTCTCACTCTTTGTACTCACACAAAAAAAGTCAAATGTCAAACACAATTACAATATTAAAAAAAGTCATTACAATTAGCCAACTTATAATAAAAAAAATAATATTTAGGTTTTCATTAAAATATTGTACCAAACAAAAGCCACTGTTGTCCTAAACAAAATAGTCATAGTTATAGTCAAGTTAACCGACACTTAGTGACAATGCTAAATATGGTTTGAGAATCTACTCAAAAACTTCCGGTCAAGGGAGGGTTACGAAACAAGCAAGTTAAAGTGTTCATGAGAGTTTAATGTCTTCTACATCACAGTATTTCCAGCAACCAGAAACTGTTTCTATAATTGAAGATTACTTTCTTATGTGTAAAAAGAAAACATCACTTTCACAGATCTCTTCAAACACCTCATTGTATAGCCACCTGAACTGCTACGTATCTTTTTCAAATAGGAAAATACAGCAATATATAGGCTAAGCCTCATGCCTCATTCACACTGCAATTTCTGCAGCAGGAATTCCAAATCTCCCATTTAGATGAAGCCACTGTCACCCATTCAAGTCAATGACCTGATGACTGCGGTCACATCTGTAAGCAGCAGTCCACTTGTAATTGTATTTGATATGATTACATGCAGTTTGCAGCTATCATGCTTTCAGGGACAGTGATCTATTCCAAACCATATATAATTGCATCACATATGATTGCATACAGATTTCTGCTTAGAAGATTTGGGTTTTTATGCAACAGGTATCAAAATTGCACAATGTGAATGTAGTCTTAAGAACATGGATGTGCCTGAAAGAATGGTTATATGATTTGGTAGTAATCTAAGTGCTAAGTCCATAAAATGTGTCATCTTTCAACTATAAACTGGTTCTTCTGGTTCTTGTTTTTAGTCCCTGGAAAACAATATTGTAGTATTTGTTCACAACTATCAGCATTCTGCTCTTCAAAGAGAAGCCAACATATCATAATAAACCAACACACTGTTTATGAAAAGTAGAATCCCTAAGAGTCTGAAATCACAATGTAGAGTGATGATTATTGATAAGCTCTTATACAAAGTGCTTTTTTATATTTTATTTTTATCTGCATAAAACATTTTTATCCACAACACAATCAAAATTCAACAACTGTTGGCTTGTTAATAAATTTTGTTTTATTTATTTTGTTGAGTAGGAGAGTCGCTTCCACTAAGTTCTGGTAACCAGATTAATGTTAGATTTACAACTATTGGACCATTGACATCGAAAGGATTTCACTTTGTCTATCAAGGTAATTACATATACAGCTTTAACAATACATAGAATATGTATTGTATTTGAAGCTTTCTATTTAATATGTATTGGGTATATTTTTCCATAGCTACATAATACATCACTATGGTAATAAAAAAGCTTGAATTTAGGTTTTCAGTTTTATTGCATTAAGTCTTACCTTTTCAGCTTGTCTTTGTTATTATTCCTTAGTTTTTTGGGAAAACATTACCTCGTGTGAAATTATATTTTTGATTATATTAGGCTGAATAGAGAGCTGAACACAATGGGCTTGATTTACTAAAGACAGATAGGTTGTTCACTTTGCAGGGGATTTTCCCTTAACTTGGTGAACGTGTTGACAAAGCCTTTTTTTATTCCTTCTCAAGGGTACATAGAAGTGACTTTTTTTTCCAAGTGCTGCTAATGCACTATTTTCCTCTTCCTCTTTAAGGGCACAAACCAGCTACTTTGCTTTGTAGTGCCTAGGGATGCACCGATACCGATACTAGTATCGTTATCAGTGCCAATATCGAGTATTTGGGCGAGTACTGGTACTCGCCCAAATGCTTTGATACTTACCTCCGATACCCGAACTTCCAGTCAGAGGCAGATCTTTCTCTGACTGGCAGTGCCAATGGAGCATGGAGCCAGCTTCCTTTCCAATCAGGAAGCCGGGTGGATGATTATGATCCGCCTCCCGGGTTCCTTATTGGCTAGGAGGCTTCAAGTGTTGCTAAGCAGCCTAGCTTCCTAACCTGTCCGGAAGACAGGCACAATGTAATGACCCACCTCCCGGCTTAGTTATTGGTCAGGAAGCCAGGCAGCCTAGGAACAAGTGTAGCCGGCATCCTAGCCAATCAGGAAGCCGAGAGGTGGGTCATGATGTGCCACACGGCTTCTTGATTGGCTAGAAAGCTAGCTTCGTGTGTCGCTGAGCACCATGGCTTCCTGACCAATCAGGAAGCCGTACGGCACCTCATGAATCACCAGCCAGCTTTCTGATTGGTCAGGATGACGGGCAGCCTCTGAGGCCAGTGTTCTTTCACTAGAACACCGGCTTAACAGGCAATAAGGAAGTGCCCTTCCACAACACAGGGAAAGGGCAGGCAGCAGCAAAAGGCATGTGTGTGTGTGTGTGTGTGTATAGGGATGAGGGTTGTATGGCCAGGGGCAAGGACAGACAGCAGAGGGGAAAAAAAGTAGAATCCTACAGCCATAGGCTGTCTGCCCTTCCTCGCTTCTTCCTTCAGGTAGGAAACAAATCAGAGAGGCAATTTATTGTTGGACATTATGTGCTGTATGTTGGCAAGGAACATGGTGATGGTGGAAGAGAGCAGAGTAAGCAGAGGGATAACCTTTTCTGTGGTTGCTCTTTCAACACCCAGTCAGCAGACTGGGGGCAGAGGGTGGTAGTCAATAACTGTAATAGAAAAAAGGGTGTCATCCACTACAACACCGTAAAAGGTATGCAAGTGAAAATCACATATGAAGAATGAGTAATCATGTGTGTGTGTGTGTTTGTTTGTATGTGTGTGTGTGTGTGTGTGTGTGTGTGTGTGTGTGTTTTTTTGTGTGTGTGTGTGTGTGTGTGTGTGTGTGTGTGTGTGTGTGTGTGTGTATGTGTGTGTGTGTATACGTGTGTGTGTGTGTGT